GACCACACACACACACACACACACACACACACACACATACACACACACACATACATTTTGGTGCATGCTGAATGCCAATATAAGCTTTTTTAATTGGGGACCGTGGTTTTGTTTCCCAATTGCCAAGGTGTCCCCAAATGACTGTTGTGTGTGCTTGTTCAAGTACCCAAATTGAACCTAATCAAACACACACACACACACACACACACACACACACACCACACATTCACATTCACACACACGGGACTTCTCACAGCCATGTGACAGCAGAGACTGAGGTGGATCAGAAGACATGTTTGTTGGACAGAAGAGACTTCTGGACCAGAGGTGTCAGAATATCCTCAGACCGCACAAACATGATGACAAACTGACAGATTTACGGCTTTGCTTGCACAAAAACATCAATTTTAATTATTATTTTTCTGCTTCTGCACCAAATTTGCACCATTATGTTATTTTTATTTAGTTTTATATCACTACCTTTATTTACTTTTCATTTTTCAACTAAGTCCCTGGTTCACCATTGACCCGTTCATATTTTGAATGATGTTTTAAAATAGTTTTTTTCCATTTTCAATCACATTTCAAATCAGTTTCCCCCCTTAGCAATCTGGAACCACAGGGTATTGGCCCAAAGTAAGCCTACTCCTAAAACTAAACCCATGGTGCACCATTGACCCGTTCACATTTCAAATGATGTTTCAAATGATTCTTCTCCCGTTCAAAATCACATTTCAAATTAGTGTCCTCCTCTTGGCTGTGTGTGCAACTTTGCAAAGACTATGTTGGACTCTGTAGTTTTCTCTGGCCCCTCTACCCAACCTGACCAGTGACGACATATTTAGCCATATGTCAGCTTTCAACCACTGGGTGTCCAAGTGGTATTCTGAAAACAACATAGAATTTGTAGATAACTGGAGTGCATTTTGAGGAAAACTCGGTCTGATGTGGAGAGATGGAATCCATCCCACCTTTAATGGAGCAGCACTTCTCTCTAAAAACTTAGCTGATTCAGTTGGACTTCTAAATTATTGACAGTTAATGGTCCAGCATAGAAATCAGTTCAGGAAGCAGAGTTGTAATCTTCCACACCTCTCTGCTGCTTCTCTGTTACCTACCCAAAACCCCATTGACACAGTACCAACTCGCCCACAGCTCAAATTAAATAAACCAAAAATCAGCTGTAAAAATATAAAGCATAAAAACCTTATTAAAATAAACACAGTTACTTTACCAGAACAAAAGGATAAAATAATTAAATGTGGTTCATTGAACTTCAGATCTCTTTCTTCTAAATCCCTGGTAGTCAATGACCTGATACCTGATCATCATATTGATTTATTCTGTCTGACAGAAACCTGGCTAAAACAGGAGTATTTTGTTAGTATAAAACTATAAATGAACCCACTCCACCTAATTATTAAAATTTTCATGTTCCTAGAACAGCAGGTTGAGACGGGAGTATAGCTTCTATTTTTCAGTCAGGATCATTGATTAATACTAAACCAATTATTTTAGTATGCACACAATATGCACACATTTATGCACATAAAAAAGTAAATTAAATTTAATTTAATTTTATATGATTTTTATGACTGTTCATTGTTGTGTGTACCTCATATGTTTTTTTGTGTTTGTTTGTTTAAAACAGGTTTCTCTTGAAAATGAGTCCCCATGACTCAATGAGACTAACCCGTATAAATAAAGCTTAAATTAATTATTGTCATAGCAAGCATGAATTAAGACTAAAATCTGGTGTTTTAGACAAAATGTCTTCAAATGAACTGATTTGTTTCTCCTGAGAGCTGCTCAGAACTCCCCCTTTCAGCAGCTCAGACTTGAGTTTTTTCACACGGATGCTGAGCTTTAAATTACCTGAACTAAACGCTCACAATCTGAGAGCAAACATTCACAATCTTACTTTTGAACTCTTTAAAAGCTGCTGTGAGTTGAGTCCACCATATACTATCATACAACATAATAAGACATTAATTGCATGGTATTTTATGTCTTATTGTCAGATGCTTTGTTGTAAATGTTTTAATACTACTGTTACTGTTATTAAGACTGTTGCTGTATTTGTAATGGCTTGTTTGCACCATGCACATTGCCCAGGACATCCTTGTAAAAGAGATTAATAATCTCAATGGATTTATTTCCTGGTAAAATAAAGGTTTAAATAAAAATATTTTAAAAATTATGCAAATGTAAAAACAATAAGGTAAAAAAAAAACTGATGACACTGTGGCATTGAAAAACACATTTCACACAAAAATTCCAATTGAAAATAGTAAAGTAACATCCATAATAACCCTAAGAAAACAAAAGAAATGTTGATTTTAAATTGGTAAAAATAATTGAATCTTTGATAAATTTGACCACACCTTCAGGCCACAAATGCAAAATTAGCTTGCCAACAATCTTGAGCCCAATTAAAAGCATAAAGGTTGGTTAAATTCCTCAAATTAAAATTATATATATATTTAGTCACAAACTGAAAAGGAATACTGACAGAAGTCTGACTCAGATCTAAATGTTCAGGAGGTTCAGTTTTTCTCAATGAAAAACAAAACAATAATTTTGGATAAAAAAAAGGTTGAACAGTGCCCTTCTGTCCTGTTGTCCATGTTGTCTTTGTCAGTTTGAGGACAACATGATAGACATCTGTTTCCAAGTCCTGGACAACTCCAACAGTGCTTTGAAGAACTCCAAGGTGGATCTGGAAAGAAGGTTTGACCCGGTGTACGTCAGCAGGATAATCAGCAAGATGGTGAGTCTGCTCACCTGACGACAGTTTGACTGAAGCTGTGATTCGACGTGACCTTTGACCTTTAGGAAGTTGTGCAGTGACTGTTCATTTAAAGCTGTCTCCTCCTTCTGTACAGGTGAATGCTAATGGGGACAGAGGCATACTATTTGGGAGCTGGAGCCCACCTTATTATGGTGGGGTCTCTCCGAGTCGATGGACCAGCAGTGTGCCGATCCTCCGGCAGTGGAGCCGCTCTGGCATCACAGGGGTTAAATACGGCCAGTGCTGGGCGTTTGCAGGTGTTGCATGCACAGGTGAGGCTCCTCCGGTCTCTCATTACTTTTAACTTAGTATTTCATCACAAATATTTTCATATTTACTGAACAAAAACAGGAATTTGTCACTGAATTTAAACAATGAATGCATAAAAGGTGAAAGAATGACGTGTTTGATGTGCGTTCTGAACAGTCCTACGCTGTCTGGGGATTCCAACGCGTGTCATCACCAACTTCTCCTCAGCCCACGACGTGGATGGAAACCTCTCAGTAGATTATGTGGAAAACTTTGACGGCGGCAACAAACAAGACAGCATATGGTAGGATCAACTCACATGCAGAGACGCAGAGTTCTTCCAGAAAATACCATTATTTCAATCAAAATACTACACACCCTATAAACCACCTCCATGTGATGCACGTGTGTTTTAATCCAATGCCAAGATGGAAAGATATCAGTAATTATCTCAGAGAAGCAACTGTTTCTGATCAACTATCAATCTGGGAAGGGTCAAAGGACAGGGTCATTTGGAGTCTATCGTTCTACAGAGAATTATTATTCACAGTGGAAAACATTTAAGACAGCTGACTATTTTCTCGGCAAATTCACCCTGAAGGTCAGACCATACAGTGCTCAGAGAAATGAACTCCATCTCAGACTACGCAGGCCTCAGTTAGCAGGTCTGCTTTTTCCATATTTTGGCCTAAATTTATTTACGAACAACAAAATGTTGGATGATGTTGCTCATCTAAAAGGACCTTTTTGATGTTGGATAACTCATGGGTGTACTGACCTTTAAATAATTATGACTGTGTGTTTTACACTTTTTGTTCTTTGGCTTCAGGAACTTCCACTGCTGGGTGGAGACATGGATGAGGAGAAATGATCTCCCTCGGGGAAACAACGGTTGGCAGGTTCTGGACCCAACACCACAAGAACTGAGCGGAGGTACATTTTGAACAAACCTTTGATTTTAAAACCCAACAGAATCATTGACTGCTCAGTGTTTTCTTTGGCTGTGAAACTAATCTCATCGTTATTTCAGTGTTTGTGTTTGTTGTTGTTTTGTGTATGTTAGTTATCCTGTTATCATGAATAGATAAAAGGTTAAAGGTTAAAAATATTGCACTTCATTAAAAATATTTTCTCATATAGAAATACATTAAGATATCTTTTAATTTGCTTTAGCATACTTGATTTTTTCTCCCCTGTTGTGATGGACTTCCCCTGGACTGGACTTCTACTGTGCAATACTACTGACATTTCATACCCTCAGTCACCTTAACTACCTCACTAATATCCATAATGTGCAATACAATTGTGTAATACTTGTATTTTTTACTTTCATTATTATATCTATATTGCGTTACATATTTTATATTTTTAGTGTGTGTTTAATGTGTGTTTTCTTAAGGCATGTTTTTGCACTGGAAAAAGGAGTGGCTCTTAATTTCATTGTACTGCGTATAATGACAATAAAGGCATTCTGATTCTGATTCTGATGTGAAGAGGAGGAATTGGAAAACCTCTCCATTCATGGGCCCATACATGATACATAAGATATTATGCATGATAACTTGAAAAAATAATCAAATAATAATAATAATTATTATTATTAATAATAAAAAGAAGAAGAATAAGGAGAAGGAGAAGAAAAATAAGAAGGAAATGATTTTTTAATTTTTTTTAACAAAACTTTATTTACACAATAAGATAACACAACAGTGTTAAAAAAAGGGTGATCAGGACAACCTTAAAATAAAATATTTACATGAGGAGCTTGTTGTATTGTAGTTCTCCCTGATCAGAAATGGTACATAAAACCTTCTTAAATCTGAAGAAGAATTCAATTCATTTCAGTTTATTTATAAAGCACCAAGTCACAACAGAAGATATCTCAGGGCACTGAACAGAAACAAAGAAAATGTAAGTTAACACTATCTATCTGAGGAGCAGACTGCTTTGAATTTAACTTCATCGCAGAACTCTCATCTTGAGCAAGCATGAAGGTGACAGTGGAAAGGAAAAACTCCCTCATGAGGAAGAAACCTTCAACAGAACCAGGCTCAGGACAATCTGCTTCAACAGCAAGAGGGATTTCAGCGCACCTCTTGTTTTGCTCTTCTCAGATAGTAGCTGGTTTAGCTCATTTGAGCTCCTGTTCTACTGGTTTTTAGAAACAATACCATTTCGGCATCAATAAATTTGAGCAGAACACCGAGCATTCATGCTGATTTTTCACAGAAAGTTAAAAATTTCATGATGTCTTTGGTACTAAAAGCTGCCATATAGTGAATTACAGTGAACTTGTTTCCTGCTCCTGTATTGTTGCTGCAGCGGATTTGAACGAGCTGTGTTTGTTTCTCAGGTGAGTTCTGCTGTGGTCCCTGTCCAGTGGCGGCCATCAAGGAGGGAAACGTGGGAATGAAGTATGATTGTCGGTTCACCTTTGCTGAGGTCAACGCTGACATCAACCACTGGAGGATCCTATCTAACGGCCAGAGACAAAAGGTCTCTGAAAACCAAGTTGAGACAATCATGAAAACCTGAACAGGTTTAATGAGGAGTGTCTCTGTGGTTGTTTCCACAGATCAGTGTGGAAGAGAAAACTGTGGGGAGAAACATCAGCACCAAGAGCGTTTATGGAGACTTCAGAGAAGATGTGACTCTACAATACAAATACCCTGAAGGTCAAACTTAGACTCAAACTCTTCAACTTCCTAATTATCAGATTTTACACCAAATAATTGTTACTTCCTTTATCTTGAACCAAGCTGTGAATCACTGTTTCCCAACAGGTTCTGCTAAGGAACGAGAGGTGTACCTGAAGGCAGGAGGCAGGATCTCAGAGCCGACTGATGAGAGCGCAAAACCAAAACATCTGAAACTGATAATCCGGCACGGCCGGTGTGTGTTTGGGACGGACTTTGATGTGACTGTGGAGGTAAAAACTGCTCCGACTTTAACTGATTTTACAGGATAAACAACAAGTGGTACACTGATGTCTCCCCTTGCTCACAGATTTGAATAGTGAGTGTTTGTAATTTTGGAGGTGAGTGTTTTTCTGGGCTGGAAGTGAACAGGAAATGAGAGCTAAATGTTTTTGGTGCTTGATATTCAAGTTGGTAGGAGTTGCACTGTGGAAAAGAACAGTTTTTTTTCTGCTGACTGACAGATCCTGGCAAGAGGAGGGAACAGCTTTATACACCACCAGGTGTAATGGAGGAGCAATGGTGACCTTGGACACTATAAATTAATCTTTGGCCACCCCAATCATTTTGAGGAAACTATAAGTTTGAGCAATATAAAAACTAGAAAGCATAGTTTACTCCAATGGTATGGGTGGCCGGTTTGCACACAAATATGGCCATCTTGGATTTTAAGCTGGCAACCTTGTTTTCAATAGAAAACTTTCTTACATCTACAGTTAACCACATACCAAAATGGAAGTCAGTTCCTCACTTACTTTTCTAGTTATCATGCTCACAAGTCCACCGAACAGACAGAGGGAGGTTGTTTCAAGTTCCTTCCCTTACTCCATGACGGGGGACAATAATTGTTGATAGTAGGTGGGTTTTTTTCTTGTGATTTGTTCACTGGTTCATCTGTGTGCAGGTGAAGAATGAAGGAAAAGAAAGTGTGCACGTGAAGCTGACGATGAGGGTCATGGCTGTGTCGTACAACTCCATCTACCAGGGGGACTGCCTGAAGCAGACCAGTAATGTGACGGTTCCAGCTGTTCAATGTAAGCAAGGCACATGAACCCACACAGAGTCTGATACAAATGTATGAAGACAACCTTAATGTTTGTGGCTTTAACTGTGTCTGATGGTCTGTGTTCAGCCCATAAAGAAATCCTGCACCTGCAATACAAGAACTATGCCAGGTGTGTCTCTGACCAACACCTGATCAGAGTGAAAGTGCTGGCAGAGGCTAAGGGGGTACCTCTACCCTTCATGAGGGTGTCTGACATCCCTCTGAGAGTGCCTGAGGTCCGCATACAGGTGGGTGAGGCCAGAGATCACCAAAGACTGGAGGAGTCAGAATGTTTTAGTAGATCCTTCATGTCATTATGGTGCCACAGCACGACCACCCTTAGTGTGTGAATGATGTTGTTTCCTGTTCTTTACTTTTTGGAATCACACTTTGTGCCATTTTAACCATTCGTTGATTCAAACTTTCAGCTTAGCTGGGAACAGAGTATTATGACTTTTAGTGTTTATAATTGTTATACTTTTTGAATTATTCATCTTTATCCACCTTATTCCCAGCTCCCATACTGCCTTGCACGAATTATGGACGTGACTTCTGGCGCTGACCAGAACCGACATCTGTTTATGTGTGAACAGTACAAACTAATGTAGTTTCTCCAAGCATCGTGGATTTAATTTAAACATGTGGGAACACCACCCTGTCAGAGCTTAAACAGGACAATATAATCATATCGCTGCCTACAGCGGACGAGGGATGGGAGGATGACCTGAAGAAGTAGCTGCAGATTACATATACTAGCATATTTAGCTACTTCTTTGACCCAGTTTCTTCCAACAGGGAACTACCTGAAAAGCTCTGAGGTGTTTTAGTATCTACACAGGAATAAGGTTGGTTGCGCTTTGTTAGAAGAGAGTGGGCACAATATTATTTACCTTACAGCAGACAAATAGCCCAGCCAAAGCCTTAAAGTCCTCCATCACTGAGCTTGGGTTAATTGCAGAGAAAATTGTAATACCGAAGATGAACAAATACAACAATACTCTGCCCTTCATACACTTGAAATCATACTTGATATTCAAAAAAGTTCAATCTGGTCCTCTGGACATTAAAAAAAAAGAAAAAAAAAAAAGAAAAAAAATATAGAAACGTTTCGTCTCTCATCCAAGAGACTTCCTCAGACTGAGGAAGTCGACTGAGACTGTCGACTCTCGTGCAGGTTTGGAAAAAACATAAAAAATACATGAAAACATGCAACTGGACCGAGAACAGTGAGATGTTACTTTTCATACCAGCATAATTTCAAATCTAGGCAAACAGATAAAATGATCTGAGATCCTGTTTGGATCTGTAGCTCAGCCATCATAGCAGAACCATCAGTTTGAGTTTAAACTGGTCACAGGAAGTTGGACTTTCCATGACTGAGCTGTTAAACATCCCTTCAATCACACATGGAGGATTGTTACCACAGAATGTTAGAGTCTGATGAGGATTTCTGAGCCGTCCAAATGTTTGAGATTTGTTTTTAAACACAATATTTCCTCAGATTCTACACATATTTTTTGTTTAGATTTCAAAAGGAAGTCTTAAAAATAATGAGCTTCATTGGATTCCTTCAACAACTCTGCAGAAAGCTTTGGTTCTGGCCGTTCTTCTGCAGGTGGAAGACAGTGCACCAGGCCCTGTAAGGCCTTTCTGTTTGTCTGAACTATTTTAAACGAAAGTGTCTCCTGATTTTCCAGATTATTGGAACGACTTTTGTTTGGGAACCGGTGTCGGTCAATGTCTCCTTCACCAATCCTCTGCCGGACTCTCTGAAGGGAGGGGTGTTCACCCTGGAGGGGTCTGGCCTGCTACCCGAGACCCACATCTATGTCACGTAGGTTACTGGGACCAAATCCAAGGCTTTGCTCGTTACTTCTGCTTGTCTCAAATCTGATTGTCCTCTTTAGTTCATGTTAGACTGTGAGAAGAGATTCTAATTGTTGTTTTCTTTCTCAGTCATGTCATTTCTCCCGGTGAGAAGGTGTCCGTGAAAGTACCCTTCACACCTTTTAGGACCGGGGTCAGGAAGCTCATGGTGGACTTCGACTCAGACAAGCTGAAGGGCATCAAGGGAGAAGCCACTGTGGTCATCAAGTCGAGACACTGAAACATTTTCCATGTAATCAGTGACTATTATTAACACGAGCACGTCACAAACAGGAGGGGTGTCCTGTTGGCTTGTCACTTTATTTTAAAATACGCAAAACATTTTGATTTCATTCATGAATTAATGAATTACTTCCTGTTTTTGATCTTGAATGAGTGAAATAAAAATCAAATTGAAGGGCTGATGTAAGAAAAGGCCCTCATTTTTAACAATTAATCAGTTTCTCTTACTTTTATAGTCAAAATAATGAAAACACCTTAATAATTTTATTTTTCTTCTAGTGATAACGACTTGCTTGTAAAATCTTAAAAGTGATTTTTTTAGAGGTTTTTCAAACTTATAAAATGATATAAAGTCAGTCATCCAGGAAAATGTTGGTTTTAATTATAAACAAATCTGAGTTTTTCATCTCTTTTATTAGGACTTTTTCAAAGATTTTCTTTAAAATCTGGCTGCTGATTAATACATTTTTAGTCCATTTTGTCACATTTTTTTATTTTAACAAAAGAAAAACTGCCACAGAGGAAGAGTCCTAGAACCTTAAAGATCCATCCTCATCCTCTGAACGACTCGGAAAAACCTAAAATTAAAGAATTAAAAAAAAAAAAAAAATCATTTTTTTTTATTGTGTCACACTCAGTAGCCTTTTCAGATTTAAATGACTTTCTAAAAATTATAAAATATGTTTTTTTTTAAAGCAGTTGAATCCCAAAATAAAGTGTTTGAAAGACTTTGAACAATTTATCAAAACCCCTTAAAGGACCACAGATCTGTCTGCGTAGAAAAAGAAATGAATAAATATGAGGACTCTGGACTTTCCTGTCTGGAGCTATGGGTTCTGGTCCGATCCTGATTGGTTCTGTTGGGTTTTCTTGCAGTAATCTTTGTGAAAAACCAACTCCACGTCCTGAAAAGAATGTTTTGTTGAACAGAAATGAATTTCAAGCCTCGTTACAGTCCACTGGGTTCACTCCTGGTTCTTGAGCTTGTTTTGGGTCTCAGGTGTGTTCAAACTGAATGGTACCAGAACCTTTAGTCCCTGAATTCTCTGGTTCCTGCAGTTTCTGCAGATAAAACCTGTTAGATTCCTGTTTTGTTTTTGCACTCTTTGATTCCTGAATTAAAAAATGAATGTTAGAATCACCATTTCATGCATTTATATTTAGTTTCATGTTAAAAAGTGTATTAAATTCACACAATTTAAATAAAGTTTGGTTTATCACGAGCATTCATTTGATCTTGTGTCATTATTTGAGTATCTGGTTGATTTGTTTCTATATTTGTAACATTACAGCTCATTTTTGCTGAGTCATTCACTAAAACAAACAAAATTTATTTGAGTCACCTGAATCAGAGACCCGACTCATCTGAGTCTTCAGCACTTTCATGGATTCCACATTTTTCCTTTGGGTCTGAAACCTGAGGACTTGGGCGGCAGTCTGCTGGAGGGCACGTAGGACCTGAGTTAGATGAGACGTCAGCTCGGAGTCTTGATTCAGTGCAAGGATTTGGATCAGTGACTCGGATGATTCGGCTCTAATACAGACTGTTTTTGTTGACTGAACAAAGTTAAACAATAAAGCAAAGAAAAACGATCTAATCCATGGTGTAATGCAGTTTATTTATTTATTTTAACCAGAACAGTTTTTGCTGAATTAATCTTACAGAACTTCAGAGGGCTGGAGTCTAGTTCCACCTTATTTTACTTTAGTACCTATAGATGATGGGACAATCAGAGTAATTTGTTACTGAGGAGTAATCTTTTGAAATTATTCCTGTGGTTTCACAGACCTGTGAACCCCTGCCCATCTTTACTAGACGGTCATCGTCTCTACACTCTACCGTTTCAATTCAGTTTATAGCGCCAAGTCACAACAGAAGTCATCTCAGGGCACTGAACAGAAACATTCATATACATAAAAAGTAAGTTAACATTATTTATCTGAGGAGCGAACTGCTTTGAGTCTAACTTCATTGCAGACTCTCATCTTGAACAAGCATGAAGGCAACGATGGAAAATAAAAATTCCCTCATGAGGAAGAAACCTCCAGCAGAACCAGGCTCAGGACAAGCGGCCATCTGCTTCGACCGGCTGGGATTGAGACGAACGGGAAGGAGGAATAGATACACAATGGCAGGTCGAGAATCACATATTAAGATAGAAATAATTAATTTTTCGATAAGATGTTTCTAATCTTAGCGATATTACGCAGATGGAAGAACGTTCATGTAACATTTTTAATGTGAGGGATATAAGATATGTCCTGATCAAAATAGCACAAAGGCTTTAAACATTAGAGCTGGAGGCCAGATTAATGTCATCTAGAGTTGCTGAATGTGAGTTACTGAGATTGAAAAAGCACTGCATTCTGATTCATTCACATTTCACAGTGTCCTGACTTTTTTGGATTTGTGGTTGTAGTTGAGTTTTCATCTAATTTTGAACCCTTTGTTTGTTTGTTTGTTTGTTTGTTTGTTTTGCAAACAAAGTCCATTTGTTTATTAACCTTTATTTTACCAGGCAAATCCCATGTCTTCCACCAGCAAACATGGGGAGAACCTGCAAACTGCACACAGAAAGACCCCCGGTCCAAACCTGGGATTGAACCCAGGACCTGCTTGCTGTGAAACAGCAGTGCTAACCACTGAGCCATCGTGCAGTCCACGCAGCTTTTAATTTGAGTGTCGACAGCAGAACCGTTTGGGAACTGCATGTCCAGCGTAGAGGAGACTGTTAAACCTTAGTGTCTGCTGTGAACACAGTTTAAAGCAGAGGTTTGCAGCTGCAGGGGGAGTCTCACTCATTCAGTTTTTGAGCCGTTTGTTATCTTCTGCTCATTTCTTCTTTTTCTGCTCTTTTTTCCAACTCTGTCCATCCTAACTTCTTATTTTAGACATCTTATCTGGGTCAGCCACTCTCTGTCACTCTGCTCGGGTGCTTTTCTTAGCAGCTGAGACGCGTGTCACTTTTCCCAGCACTCTGATGGAAAGATGTCACCAGGAAGGAGCTGAAGATGAGCTGATGTGATGAAGATCCACCTGGACGGACTCATCCTCAGGCTCTCAGAGACAGGAGCTTGTGCTCCTGCAGCTCCTTCATTCTGTGCTGTTACAGAGTGAAATAATCACCTGACAGGAGCAGGAAAAACATGGAGCTGTGATCCAAACACAGAACCAGTGGAGGGCAGCACTGCTCCTGCAGAACAGACTGGTTCTTGTGTATCAGCTTCCAGATACCAGTCTGTAACAAGAAACAAAGATAAAATGTGAAATATTAATCTGGAGATTAGAACAGAAGGTGCGGTTAAAGCTTCAGGCTCTAAAGATGGGTGATCATGCATTTGTTAGCTTGTAATATTTGCACCTTTAGCCACTAAACCTGTCCAGGAGGTTTAAGGGAAATAAAATAAAATTAAGCTTTAAGTTCTCACAGAGTTCTCTAAAAAAGTTCAATCTTGTCCTCTGGACATTCAAAAAAACAAAACAAAGCAAAACAACAAAAAATGTAGAAAAGTTTTGTCTTTCATCCGAAGGACTTCCTCAGTCTGAGGTGCTGTATTCAGCTCAGTCTTATAAATAGCACCTCCTCAGAGTGGATCAACCAGTTTGCTGCTGACAACCAAAACCAGCTGCTCACATGATCAAGAAGGACCATCAGCCTAACGATGGATCATTAGCACACTGATGGCTGTGTACTATTCACAGGAGGCTGAGTGATACTCGCAATAACAGCATGGTAAGAGGGGGGCAGTTGAACATAGAGACCTCCACCCCTGTTTAATGATGGATGGTTTATTTTCACAAAGATGGCCTCCTTTACTCCTCTCTCAAACGAACATTCCTCTCTGTCCAGGATGTGAACATCTTCATCCCTGAACGACTGACCGCTGGCCTGGAGATGAGTGTAGACCGCAGAGTCCTGGCCTGATTATGTTGATCTTCTGTGCTGGGCCATCCTTTTGGCCAGTGGCTGTTTAGTTTCCCCAATGTAAGACTGATCACCCTCCTGACACTGAACAGCATACACAATATTACTCTGTTTGTGCCGGGGGACTGGATCTTTAGGATGAACCAGTAATGTATTTTGGGGTTTAAAAGCCACTGGGAAGTTATGTTTAGAAAATAAACGTCTCAGTTTCTCTGATACTCCCTCAACATACGGAATGACCACTGGTCTGGGTTCTTCCTTTTCACCTGATGGCTGACTGGAGTCCTGTTTGGGTTTCTTATCTGCTTTCAAGAAGGCCCAATTAGGATATTCGCATGGCTCTAGAGCCTGTCTTGTGTGGGATTTCTCCTTCTGCCTGGCTCCCGAGTTAGTGGGGATGCTGTCTGCTCTGTGGTACAGAGTCCTGATGACTCCTAACTCGTGCTCCAAAGGGTGATGGGAGTCAAACTGCAAATACTGGTCTATTCTCACAGAGTTCTTTGACTCATTCATGAAAAGTGGTTTAAGTTGTGCAAGAATCTGGGAGGAGAAGCTGCATGGAGGTGAGGAATCAGGCCAGCGTGAGATGCTATGGTCCAGTTTCTTTCCTTTTCCTCCCCATCCATCATGTCCCCTGTGATTTCTGCCTTTGAAACAGATTTTTTGTAGTTCAGTCAGATTTTCTCTTCAGGTTTCAGACTGACACCGTGTTAAATGTTGGTCTTTTAAAGACTCATTGAAGCTGAGGTAAGCACAAACCTCAATGTTGAGAAATTCCAGTTAAAAGTGTGTATTTCTACAACACATTCTCCCAGATCAGCACAGCTGCCTTCTACAGGGAGTCTAATGGAGTTCAGTTAAACATCCGGTCCTTTAAAAAAATCTATTCTCTCATTCTTGTTTTTATTCTCCCATCAGCAAGACTCTACGTTTGTTCTGCTCTGCAGCAGTGCTGCGAAATTCAAATCCATCCATACATTATCTTTACCTGCTCTCCTATTCAAACTTTTCAACTCCTCCCCCTTTCTACACATAGGACAATAAAATTAATTCTGCACTACAATAAACACTTTATTGTTTCTGTCTGCACTTGACCGGTTTTAGACCTTAACTGTTGGTATTTTTATATTCTCTGTTATTTTTTATGTCTTGTGTGATTCCTTGTGTATGTTCCTTTGTATTGAAACTCTGGCACAACAATTTCCTGTGGGATCAATAAAGTTCTATCTTATCTTATCTTATCTTAACTTTTGTGCAAGAGTGTAGCTGGAATTTGTTTGCAACGATTGCATGCTGGGTCCAGATCGGCCTTGATCTTGGACAGCTTGTCTTTGGACCAGTGCAATCGGTGCACTACCTTGAATTGAGCATAGTTTCTTCAAATGATTGGGGTGGCCATCTTGGTTTTGACATGGCAGCCCATTGTTTGAGAGGAAAGTTTCTAGATGAAGCCACACACCAAAATGGAAGCTGGCACCTCACTTATTCTTCAAGTTATTACACTCACAACATGCACGGGTGGCCTAACGGAGGGTATTTACAATTCCCACTTTTGTTCTGTGACGAGGGACAGTAAATAAAATAATAAAATAAATAAAATACAGAATCAGGTTTTTTTTTTTTATTATTATTTTAAATCTGTTTTTGTGGTAGGGCGATCAAATTGATCATCATTGTGGTTTTTGATAAGTACATTATCAATACTGTAAATGGTTTCCTGGACCGCAATACATCATAGACTGTTAGTATCAACATCACAGTATTAAGCCAATATTGCACGTCAAGTTTTGCTAATTTGTGCAGTTCTTTACTTTGCGGACAATGTTTTTTAATGCAGCTGCATTCATGTGCATTTAGTTGTTTAATTGTTCTGCACAACTCTGCAGCTTTGAACCCGGCCAACGCAGGCCATGAAATTAAATTAATGTGCTAATTTGGAGTGGAACAAAACTCTTCTGGTTAATTGGACTGTGGGATATGCATCAGGTCCTCATTAGACCCTGGCAGCAGAGCTGGGCTCCGTTTTCTGATGGAGGCGGAGCCTCCTGGACTGTGTGATTAAAACAACCTGAGCGGCTCCAGGTTTTGACCTGCTGCGGGGGGTAAAATTGGTCTGAGGGTGTGTGAATTCTGAATGTGTTCAAGCTTTGGTCAGCTCCTCATCCATCCTGGGAGGAACCAGGAGATGGAGCTCTGGTTCATGGGTTGGAGCTGCCTTGACAACGAATATAGTGAGGAACACACACCAAGAGAAACATGAGCAGGAGATGTGAGTTTTAACGCATGTTAAACAAAAAGAACATCTGTCACCTGCTGCTTTTCATTCTGCACTCTGCCTGTTTCTGCCTCCAGAGCTGGAAGGACGACCGGAAGGTGTCTGATTTGATTTTCCTCTCAAATCTTTCATCTCTTCGGTCCAGGAGGAACAAGCAGAGAAATCAGAAGGGGGTTGTGTATGTTAAAGACGTGTTCTTACTGACGTGCAGACGTGGAAAATGAGTGAAGACAGCGTCATGGGGGTCTCTGCAGATGTGGGGCTCTCTGCAGACATCGGGCTCTCAGAGGACTTGGGAAACTCTGAGGATGAGGAAGAGCTGTGAGAGGTGTCCTTCTGCACCCTCTCGGAGATCCCTTCCTCAAACTCTCAGATCAGCAGACTCGGTGGCTTCTTTTAAAGGCCAGCTAAAAACTCATCTTTATAAATCTGCTTTTGCTTGAATTTGTTTTGTGCACTTGTTCATTTTGTTTGTTGAAGCACTTTGTGATTTTTATCTTGAGAAGTGCTACTGTATATAAATAAAGTTTAACTTACTTACTTACACGAGGAGCAGGTGAGCCGTCGTAGCCTCCACCCGTCGAGACAATGGGAGGAGCAGGCAGCAAGGGAGGAGGGTCAGTGGACCGGGCTTGGGTCCGACGTCAGCCCTTCTTTGGACAGTGATGAGAAGAGATGTGGAGAGAAGCTGATCCCTCAGGCGACTCAGACGAAGCACTGGGCTCACTGGAGGTCGGAGCAGTCAGCGAATGGACTCCAGCATATTTTTTCCTCCAGCACCTTGTCCAGGAACTCCTTCATTCCTGGATCATCGTAGAGTCCAGGAAGGCGGAAAAAAAATTGTCATCATGTCCTCTGTGGCCACCCATGTTAACCACAGATCGCTGGAGGTGGAAACTGTTCCACAGTTTTTACAGACTGCTGAACCCCTGCCCATCTTTACGTCTTTGAGATTCAGCTTCTCTAAGATGATAATTTTATGCCTAGTCCTTTTACTGACCTGTTGACAATTAACTCGATTAGGTGCAATAAACATCTTCCAGATGAATAATATTTTACACAATTTTTGCAGTAAAACTTTCCTTTTGTCTTTGCAGTTACTTATCTTATTGTTTTTCTTTTTATTTATCCCTTCTGTCTTTAGCTTATTGATGATTGTTGTCCCTGTTTTCCTTTTTCATTTTCTCTAAAAAGTGCAGTAATATTCGCATCCGTTCGGCTGTGTGTTTTGTTGACAGAGAGATGCTCGGTGATCGTCCCTTCAGATCATTTACCTCAGTTTGGACGTGCAACACACTTAGCACAAGGAAACACAGCGTTACACACTGCAGTTTAATTACACAACCCAGCACTGCATAAAAAGTACAACAAACATGGCAGGAACTTACAGAAACAAATGATAAAAATATACATTCAACATGCATATCTCATACTCCTGTATTTCAACTCAACGTTCTTCATCAGCTAATACTTAACTTTCTTTTAGCATGATTTCATTATTTACATCCAGGTAATTTTTACAAAATAAAATAAACAACAACAAAATAAACCATGCATTTCTGATCCTCGTTGTTTGTAAACAGAGTAAATACTGGCAACATGCAGGATCAACTCAAATAATCAGAAATACAGTGGTTTTGTTTCAAAGGTAGCAAAATGGCTCCCTGTAAATCAGCCAAACCAGTTCCTGCAGCTTCCCAGGCTTTTAACTCACAGACGTCTGATTCTGGTGATCAAAACTTCTAAATCAAACCTGCCCCCTGTGGTGGGCGAAGAGTAGTGCTCCGTTCAACACCCGAGCTCACAAGCAAAATCTGGTGATAATTCAACCACTGATACGGTTCAACTTAAAAATAAAAAATATATATACTTTACACTAGAACGGTCCAATCACGTGGCACTAAAGCATGCAAAATAAATACGAACAACTAAAAATACAACATCTGGATAAATCACGGTCTGCTCCACCCCCTGAAGCAGCAGCAGCATCACATCTGTGAGCTGGAACATCATTTCTGATGGATGCCTGTCAAACTTTAACAGTATAGCAGCAAACTTACACTTTTATTTAATTTTGTTTCGCTGCCGTTAACGAAAACATCCAGGGTTTTGTGAAGCGAATGTACAGCGCGTGGGTTCTGGCTTTGGGGGCGTCTCACTCCGGCGCTGAGTTGATGGGTGGTAAGTTCCTCTGTTTGAAGTACTGGGTGACCTGCTGAGGCAGCTCAGCCAGGACGGACTTGGCAAGTGTCTCTTTCGGTGCCTGAGAGAGAAAACAGTAAAACACAAATGCTTTGTTTAGGGATATCTTCTAGATGCAAACAGATAGCTGCTGTCGCTAGGGCTGAAAAATTACCGATAATCGCATTTGTGATAATATCGTGATATGATAAAACAAGATTTTCTAATCTCAAAGGCTGCGATTTGACTGGTCACATGATCTGGTTACGTCACTTGCGAGTGAGCGGAGCGGAATAAGTCAACACTGTGTTTTAACCGGTTGCACGATGGCGTCAGTCTCAACAGAAGCTGATACGTCTGAAAGTTTGGTACCAAAGAGGAGCAGTACGTCTGTTGTTTGGAATTATTTTGGCTATGAAAAAGAAGACGCTGCACAACGACATGTATTGTGCAGAACCTGCTACCTCTCGCGGTAACACCACAAACCTTTATCAACACTAAAAAAAAACACCACAAAACCATTTACGATAGTTACATGGCTAGAATGCCAACGACCAGTGCTTCAGCTTCAAATAAGCAAAGTACCAGCCAACAGGAATCACTGACCGAACTGTTCGAAGGTATTACTCCGTATGAACATAATTCAAAACTGCACACGGAAATAACTTGAGCAATAACGGAGTTCATAGCAAAAGACATGATGCCCATTAACATAGTGACCAAGCCTGGGTTTATGGCTTTAGTAAACACAATGGATAAGCGGTACAGAATGCCCTCGCGTGCACCTTTTAGCCAAGTTGCTATCATGGAGCTATACAAAGAAAAGCAGAAACAGAGTTACAGTGGAGCTGAAAACAGTGGAGTTTTTTGCAATTGAAACAGATTTAAGGCTCCAGTATACTGCCGCGTACGTCCGTTCACGCGTACGTACGTGCGTACTGTACGCAGAGGGTTCAGATGGTATACTCGAGCGTACACCCCGAGCAGCTGCAGAGCAGCTTCACAGACAAGGGGCGTTTACCTTCGGGACAAATTGAGGTCGCCGATTGGTCATTTGCTGACACGCCTACTGGATTGATTGACAGATCGGAAAAAAGAAAAAAAAGCGAGCGCTGGCAGCCTTTTGCTTTTTACGTCCAAACTAAAATGATTTTAGACAAGACAAAACGAGAGGCGGGACGAGAGGCGGGACGAGAGGCGGGACGAGAGGCGG